TTCTTCTTCTTATTATGGTTCTTATTTTTCTTCTTCTTCTTCTTCTTCTTCTTCTTCTTCTTCTTCCTTCTCTGTTTTGTCGCCAAGCCGGACGAGGGAAGGAAATTAGCAGAATTCCATCGGCGCTCTGCGCAGGTCTACGCCGGCTTCAGCGCCTGAAGTGACAAGCGTCCTTCCACAAGCATACGGCGGATTGCGTTTGTTTTTGCCAACTTCAACCCTCCAGTTTGAAATTTCCGCGGCTGTGAGACGGCAAGCTGCAGCGCTCATTGTAAAGTCCGACCAGCAAGGCCCGATTAAGAAGGCCCGACCCTTCTGGGAAGCCTGAACGGCGTCATTGGGGCACATGTTGACAGACGTTGCGGCTGGCGCGTTTCTAAGGCTTTCCCATGTGGGCTGCACTGAGCTCGAGAAATATTCTATTTATGTATATTGTATTACATTTGAGGAATATAAACTTCGACAGCGTGATCTTTCAAGGACGAGAGCGCCAAGCCTCTTTGCGCCCAGACTATGGACTATGGATGGATGCATGGATGGATGGAAGGACGGACGGATGGATGGATGGATGGGTGGACGGATGGGACTGGTCGGTGTGTGGGACAAGAGGTAAGAGAGGTCTTGATTATATATATATATACTATTTTTTCGCGGCGGAGGGTCGCACAAACATCAACCTTATTGAAGACTTGAACAAAAACCGAAAGTTCCAAGACCAACTAACTCCACCCTCTACCCCCGCAGGTTCATCGCGCAAACCTTTTTCCAGCCAGAGGTGCGGGCAGCTCGACAATAACTGCCAGGGGTGAATCATCTATACTAAAAAAACACCCCCCGCAATTCGGGAGGCACAGCGCGGCTTCACCCAAGGAAGGGGAGCAAGGATAGCAGGATAGCAAGCAGACCGGGAAACCTTAACCAGGTGACACCTGGATTTAAGAAGGGCTCCCCAAACTTATTTCATGTGTGGGCCACCTGGCAACTCCCTCACCTCAACACGAGGGAAACCCCACAACGAATCCAAGGCCACAGAAAACAGGCTTCCAACAAGAAACCTCCACCAAAAAGCGGTCCGCAGAAATCTTATTCAACAAAAACATCAGAGTGCGGTCGACACTCATCCATGCCTTAGAACAATCATTCTCTCCAATGAAACCTTTAACAAGGCTACATCAACAAGTTGAAGTTCACCCAAGTTCATGAACGACCCCACTTGACTCACCTTGAGACACCCATGGAAATGGTGACCGGCCACTTTTTTTTGCTCCAGAACAAAATCCTCCAAAGCACTGTCTTGCGTCTCTTGGGTCGATGCTTCCGATCTGGCAGCGCACGGGCGCCAGGACGGTGAGGATGAACAAAGGGAGCTTCAATAAGCCTGGCAGCAGTAGTGAGCTGGAGAGAACTTTTACGCTGTGAATGGCTAAGCATGTCATGCCAGACATCGCAGCATGGTTCTGCCCTACAAAAGCAGAGCAAAGGGTGCTGAAACAAACCCAAGAAGCATTTCGCACCAATGTTCCACCAAGTCATCCTTCGCGTCTGCAGAAAAGTGAAGCTTGTCTTTTGCCAAAGGCCATGTCCTCACCTTCTCGAAACATCGCTTCACCTCATTTTCACACTGGCATGGTGCCCGGCGTGACTGCACATGGAAGTCCGCAATTCATATCCAACGCAACACCACTAAGAGCGCGCAATCGCGCTCCAAGTCATGTTGGACAATGCTAGGTACACTCACGCAAGCCTGTGGCACGGCTGCTCATAAAGATACAGCTTGATGGTGTGTTGAAACTTCATCTCAACAGCAGCAGGCACACCACAAGTGGATAAGCTGCTGCCAGCGCAGAAACGTCCTGCTATTAGGTACACGCGAGCCTGTGGCATTGCGGCACAAAGAACTACGGCGCGTAATTAGAATCAATGCTCCGCAAGTTGCAAGGACAGCAACTGCCTGTGGCCTGGCGGCGCTCCCACCTTCAGGTGCGCAGAAGGGAACCTCAGCCACGGAGACAAAAGGCGCACCACAAGCGCAAAAGCTGTTGCCAGCGCTGACCTGCAGCCCTGCTGCGCATATGTTTGGCGCTGCAACGCGACATTGCCGTCCTGCTTGGTACACGCCAGCATGTAGCATTGCTGCGCAAAGAACTGTGGAAGACAGGCCAACGCAAAGAAAGACTGCTTCAACAGCGCACTACGAGCGAACAATCTTTTGCGCCAGAAATGTCCTGCCAAGGACGCGCGCTTCCTGCGGCACATGCGCCGAAGGGCAGCTCAGCAACGGAGGCGCTCGCAAGCGCACAAGCTGTTGCCGGCGCAGAAACCTTCCTGCGAGGTACACGCAACTACCTGCAGCCTTGCAGCGCATACAACATGTTTGGTACTGCGACGAGAGATTGCTTTGCAGCCGGGCAGTCGAAAAAAAATTGTTGCATAGATGAGGCATCCTAGCCAAGTACACGCAGCTGCCTAAGTTGCAAAAAGAAGCTTTCGCCGGTGAAGAAACGATAGGTACGCACAACTGCCTGTGGCGTTGCAGCGCAAAAAGCTCATAGTTTTATAGCGTACTCACCAGCAAAACCTGCTGCTAGGTACGCGCAACCGCCTGCGGGCTTCCTGCACGAACAACGCTTTGGCGCTGCTTGGAAGGACTGCTTTGTAGCGGCGACTCATGCCACACTACAAGCAAGCTGCTGCGGTCGCAGAAACATTCTGCTAAGTCTAAGTACAACTGCCTGCGGCACTGCGGCGCGTCTGACTTGGTCTTGGCGCGCAGAAGGGAAGCTCTGCAGCAGCGGAAAAGGCACACCGCAAGCACACAAGCTGCTGCCGGCGCAGAAACCTTCCTGCGAGGTATGCGCAACGTGGCCTTACTGCACATGTTTGGCGCTGCGACGAGGGATTGCTTCATAGGCGAGACCGAAAGCGCGCCACAAGCGCAGAAGCTGCTGTGGGGAAGAGCCCCACGGACCAACGGCGCACCACTCCCGGCACCAGAGGTTGAAACCCAACTGCATTCTGCTGTTCGGAAAGAAGAACTGCAAAAAAAGTTCACTACAGAAATTATTGCGCGTGAGACCCGTTTTGCGCTGCGTGGAACAGAAAAAACGCCTGGCAATGTATACAGAAAGCAACGCAAAAGCTACATTGCCACTCAGACACGTTGCTCTAGGTACGCTTAACTGCCTGTGGCCTTGCTGCGCATAGACACGTTTCGCGCTGCGGCTGCGAGAATGATTGCCTTGCAAGGGGCAGGCAGGCAGACAGGCACCGACCGACCGACCGACCGACTGACAGAGAGAGAGAGAGAGGGAAATCAGTACACCCAAGTAAGTGCAAAAGCTGACACCGGCGCAGAAATGTCCTTGCGCGCAACTGCCTGTTGCCTGGCTACGCCTAAACCATGTTTTGCGTAGCGTCAGAAGAATGGCTTGCAACGGACAGACACAGCACACCGCAAGCGCAGCAGCAGCAGCAGCACCAGCAGCAGCAGCAGCAGCAACAACAACAATTACGATGACAGCTGCGGACTACACTAGAACATGTCCAAATGTAAGGTGCAGCAGGGTGAGTTGGGCGCAAAAAAGGACACCTAGCACAACGATCATTTCAAGAGTATCACTCTACAAAAACCAATCGGCCGGGTCAGTTTGCTCAGGGCCTGTTTATTACTTTCATCTCATTCCATTCTGCTTGCCCTCCTGGAGGCTTGCAAGCAACACACAACAGCACAACGTACGCTGACTGTTCTACATGACAGACACGTTTTAAAGCCACACACATTGCAAAGCCGCGGCGGGCGTTTTTTAGAACCCAAACAAAGCCAATTAGAATTCGACATATTGGGCGCGTGTGAAATTCCACACCCAAGTGGCATTCGTGGGCTTATTGCCAGTTGCAAATATGTGCGTTGCAACCATCAATCACGAGCCCCGGAAATGTCAAAAACTAGACGACGGTTGGCCCAAGAGCGAGACGGGTGATTGTCCAGCACTGTCGAGTAATGAAATAGATAAAATCGAGTTGTTCAAGAGTCATGACATTTTTATATTAAGAGAAAAGATATGTATACAGATGTGATGTAGCTGCGCAGATGTGTGGGTGTGTGGAGGTAGAGAGGTAGATCTGCGGATGTGAGCGTGTGAAGATGTAAATGTACAGAGGTGAGGGTGTCTAGACGTAGATGCGCCGATGCAACGGCAGCGCAACTTTGCGGTTCAGGAGCGCCATTTCTCGCTGTGCAAGCACAACGCTGAATCGGTTCGACTAAAATAAAACTGATCTATAGCACACCAGCGACACGCCGCGTGTACGCCAGTGTGCTTCGCGCTCCCCAGTGGCACGGCGCCACGCAAACGCACTTCCCACCAAGGCCGCGCAAATCCGCATGGCACTGCGACATCACAGACGTAATTCCGCCACACGGTCTGTCCACACACTAGAAGCTTGCAATCATATCACAATGTGGAGTTCCTCTTGTTCAGGGGTTTGCTTTACAACCAGGGCTTTGAGAAAACCCTCCCACCTTGAGCATTGTAAAGATATTGGGCAAGGATGCAGTTGGAAGTGCATCACTGAACATGTGAAACAAACACTGTGCGTGATATGAAAGGAGCGTTGTGAAATATTGGGCAGCGATGCATCTTGAGTTTGGACACATGGAACTACTTGAAACGCACAAACCTTTGAGAGGGAATGGAATAAATTATGTATGTATATATAGATGTATGTGTAAAAATATGTTCCAGCATTGCCCTTAAACCAACAAAACAGTCAGGCGCATTTTGTAATTGTATGCCTGTGTGTGTGCGTCCAGTGGCGATCGCCCGCTTCTACCCGTCTGAAGCCACCTGGCCCTTATTTACTGGGTTGGGTTGGGTGGGCGCAGGTGCAGGCCAGGGCTGCAATAATGTCAGCGCTAATTGTTTTGGCTTTGGTCCAGGGAAGGTGTTGAATTGCTACCAAATTTGCAGGCTCTCGCTGCGCAAGCGCTCGACGTCCGAAGCACTTATCTTAGCTTGAAGTGCATGTGGTTTTCATGGGAACCAAGTGTCCCATCAGTTTGTTTGAGGAGAGTCCATGGCTGTATATAAGGCAGGGCCAACCAGATCAACCCACAAAAGATGGTGATTAGTGCAGGAATTCAACATTCAGTTGGTGTGAACACTGGTTCTTTTCATCATTTCGGAGGCGACCCTTCCGCATGATCGATCGAGATCTCCGGCGACTGTCCGATCGAAAGCTCCAGTCATTGCTCCCCTTCCACTTCGTCGGCTGGACATTTCTCGGCAGGGATTCAGTGCACTTCAGCGATTGCAGTTTTGCAATGTCAAGCATTTGTGTTTTAATCGCTAGATATTCCATGAAATTCCAAACTAAGAATGCCTTTGAGTGGTTAGAGAGCCTTGCCAGCAGTGTTGTTTTGAGCTATGCATCAAGTGTTTGCGTGAAACAATTCCCCAAATCTTCACTTGAATCATCTTGAAACCCATCGCCCAGGAGTCCCAATATAGTCAAGAGGGAATTTCAGAACCAGCTACCTTGGATGGATGTCTGAGCCTAAGACATCCGCAATAGCTACTTAGTGGTGTTTCTCTTCAGTGGGTCACTTGTTGTGAGGCAGGCGCACCATTGGAACCTATCAAAGTGGCCGATGATGATGAGACAACCGATGGTGAGGCCAAAGTTCAATTAATTTCAAGTGCATCTCAAGACTCAATCAGGAATATCTCTCAGTCTCAAAGCAGCGTCGGCTTTCCGACAGGATGGCAGCAGCTCTAGCACCCTTCAAATGCCAGAGTTTGCCCCTTGGGTTCAAAGGTTCAAACCTAGCCATGTGGGCACATGACATGTGATGTACTATGATCGTACTATGTCATGTGTCATGTGTAGTGTTGAAGGGACCACATGAAGCATTGAGATATCCAAGGAACCTGTGGCTACAAAAACGGAGTTCAAGACCATAGTTTTGAACCAGGTGCGATGTGCTTTCCATTGCTTTCCTGACACGCATTCTTCCGAACATGCTGAAGTAGCGCTTAGCTGCTGCATAGGTCATGGAGTATCTTCCAACAGAGCGCAATGTGGACGTGGCCTTTTCGAATGTGAGGTGGGCGTTGCATGAAGCTGGCATGCAATTGCAATCGGGTGAAACCCTCGATGTTGGATTCCTCACTTGTTTAAGCTGTTGATTTTGGGGGGTATCCACAACCTATATAAGCTTTGTGGATTTGGGAACACATCCTTGAAAGCTTGGATGTTCGTGGGTGCAAAATCTGCACGACACCAGGGAAAAGGGTCACAGTGTATATATAGTATACAGGCTTCTCTTTGACAGTGTTATGCATTGCAAAGCGTGTCAATGCTGAAACTTTGAGCCTTTCGTTTCTTTGCGTTGCAAAGGTTGGTTGGGTTCAACAGTGATACAGTTCCTTGTTGGTGAGCCCTTGTAGCGCCATGCCCACTCTCCTGGAGCCTGTGGAAGACTTGAGTGGGTTGGGCCCTTACTTGTAAGTAACAGCGTGACTAAACACCCCAGCTTCTAAACACCTTGAAACCACATTGTCCACCTTACTAAGTTCAGAACCAGAGAGCTTGGCCTATGAAGACCAA